GGCGGGGCCGCCGCCTCTCCGCTCGCCAGTTGCCAGCGCCGGCCATGGATCGATGCGTGTGTGTGTTGTGTGGTGTGTGGTGTGCGTGGACGGGTGGGGTGTGGGGTGTGGCTGTGGGTTAGTGGGTGGGTGGGGCTGTAGGCGTGGTAGTGTGTGCGTCACGACGGGTGGGTGGGGCTGCGTGGGTTTGGACGGGCCGCCACATCATCGATCCGTGGGATCGATCCGCGTGGTGTGCTTCTTTGTTTGCCGTCTGCGTTTTTTATACAGACGGAAAAGAGTGTATTTTGCCGTCTGTAATATAAAACGCAAACGGTATAGATTTTTGCCATCTGTATTTCATATTACAGACGGCAAAGTATCTTCTTTGTCGTCTGTAATATAAAATGCAGACGGCAAAGATCTTTGTTGTCTGTATTTTGTTTTATAGACGGCAAAGTTAGCTCTTTGTCGTTTGTGTTTTTTTGGGTAGACGGCAAAGACTATTTTGCCGTCAGTTTTTCTTTGCCGTCTGCAGATGACGGCAAACCCTTTCTTTGCCGTCTGCCCGACGAAAAGCTGACGGCAAAGATGAACCCTGACGGCAAATTAGCTGTTTCCTATAGTGTGTTCTTCTTCTTCTTTGCTTCTTTTTCTCTTTTTGCCCTGTCCAGTCCCATTATGACATCGTAGATGATTCTCCATGACTCATATGTTGCGAATGCATCTATTGCTGCATACTTGATAAGCTTGTCTGGCAGCGGGCAAAATCCCTACAGAGTATGGTCCTCCTCGCGGTTAATTTTTTTCTTCATGTCATGGTAGTGAATGTCTATCATCCTACTGGCAACATCAGCCAAAGAGTCAAACTTCTTTTTATTGTATGGGTCTCTCCATTCCACCTGAATATCAATGTAGTTGTCGGAGTTAATCTCCAAACCAGATACCTTCACCTTGATTTTGTCTCCTTCAATAGCGAATCCGACGAAGGTGTACTCATCATTCATGAGGAATTTGTATAGTTCCATTGGCCTGCAATATGTTTGTATAGAGTGAATATAGTTTATTTCTTACAACTACCAATGTTTTTTGCTTTTTTTGAAACTGAACTGCAATATGAATATCTGAATCTGTTGCATTGAGTAGTTGCTAATACTTTGTTCAACATAACTAGTAAATCTGATAATAGATTGCATAAACAATGCATGTTTTGTGTATGCTTGTATTCTTGAATCTAATTTCATACATGTATTGTATGGTAATGTTGCAGTTTTCTATTGTTCAGCCAAGTAATTTGTATTTGGTAAACTGCATGTATTGCTAGATCATATAATTCAAGAATTGAACACATGAGTGACATACATGGAGCCAGATGAAAACTGTCAATGAATTCATATGCCATGCTTTTCAAAAATGAGAACCAAAGTTTAACTATTTGGCAATTGCAGTGAAGAAAATTTAAAATTAATATTGACAAGCAATAGTACAGATTGATAGTTATTATAACTTGTCTATAGCTGCATAGATGTGGTAGACAAGGCATTCTTTTTCTACGCATAGCTGGAGCACTGCTGCCCGCTGTGGCTTCATGTAGTGCGTGTACTCGACATCAACGCCAACTAGTTTGACGGGCATTCCGCCGAGCTTCCTCTTGAACGTGGACAACATCTTGTCCACATCTTTACCCTTGCTTGTGCAAACAATGTGGAGCTTGTGATTGCCGTGGAGGTGGACGTCGTGGAGCTCCCTGGTGTATCTGCGGCGCTGCTTGTACAGAGGTGCATCTGCCATAACTCTCCTCTACTCTCTCGTGTTTGTTATGGAGAGAGAGGAAGTGTGGAGAAGAAGATGCAATGGGGTTTATTAGGGGACGAAGCAGTTGAGTTTTCTCCTCTGCTCTCCTCTGCTCTCTCGTGTTTGTTCTCGATAGAGAGGAAGTGTGGAGAAGAAGATGCAATGGGGTTTTTTGGGGGACGAAGCTGTTGTGTTTTCTCCTCTGCTCTCCTCTGCTCTCCTTGACAGGACGTGGGAGAGGTGGAGCGGGGCAGTAATGTGGTGGGGCTCTGTTTTAAGTTACGTGGCAATTGCAGAGAGGTTCTGCTATGAGGAGGCTCTGGTAGTGCGTTGGAAATCCGGAATGTTGTCGCCTCTTTTTTCGTGATTAGTTCAATGTATTGACGCAACTGTCAGAAAATGTGATGATTGTGTTTTCGGTGAATTGTCCAAGTCAGTGCACTTCTTTGCTATCAGAAAAGAACTGCGCAGGTCCACGTAGTGTACTGCATTATATCGGATTAGGATTCACATAGATGTACTTTCTTTTCTTCTCTTGATGGAGTTCTTTCTTTTCTTCTCTTGATTTTTGTGGTAATACAACTTTTGTGTGGATGGAGGGTAGTGTGGGTAGGGTTGTCGAACTGCTTTGCTTAAGTAACAGGGTTGCATTCTTCATTTTAGCCATACTGCATTGCAGAGGGAAGAGAACTGCAATTCAGAAAAAAAGAATACTTCCTGCTTCCACGTGGACAACTGCATTGTTGTATGTCGCGGACTGCATTTGAATGTTGACTTCGGGCTTCCTGCGTTTTATTTATTAATAGTTTCTGGCAGTGTCGACGCACATTTTTTTGTTTGTTGTTATTCATTTAAAAAATGTTTCTCATTTTTCTTTTTGATGTTTTATTTTTGAACTTATTGTTTTTTCGTACTGCATGTACAGTTCTCATTTTTTGTTTCCGTGTTTTTCTATTTTGTAATCTTTTTTTCCAATGTATGGGAGTGCACTGCTTAGTAAATCATACATGTAATGCATTGATTATGGTTCTGTACTACACATTCATATATTTCTGCACTGCATTGATTATTGACGTGTTTGCGTTTTTATCTTTGTGTTTTTGCTCTTGCGTATTCTTTTTTCAAATTTAGGTTCGTGCACTGCTTTGTTGGTTATGTTAAAACTTCATTCGACAGAGTCTGTACTGCATTCGTATTTTTCTGTCTTAGGTATTTTTTCAATGTTGGGGTATGCACTGCATTGATCAGTGTTATGTACTGCATCTGCATGCATTCTGTACTGCATGTACAATTCTCATTTTTTGTTTCCATGTTTTTGCTATTATGTAATCTTTTTTCCCAATGTATGAGAGTGCACTGCATAGTAAATCATACATGTAATGCATTGATTATGTTTCTGTACTGCACATTCATATATTTCTGCACTGCATTGATTATTTACGGGTTTGAGTTATGTATTCTTTTTTCAATTTAGGTTTGTACACTGCTTTATTGGTTATATTAAAACTTCATTCGACAGAGTCTATACTGCATCTGTATACAATTTGCACTGCATGCATCCTGTTTGCACACTGCAACTTTTTTTTGTTTTGTGCACTGCTCGAATCTAATGATACATGAGCAGACAACAGAAAACAAATTTGCTTTGTGCACTGCATTCATCATTACAAGCGATTCTGCATGGCAAGAACACAAGCAAACTAACGATACATAAGCAAACAACATAAAGCAAATTTGATGATAATTCTAAAACGACGTTGGCATTGTTGGCTCTTGGTCAGCACCATCTTCTTCTTCCCCAGTTAGGCTCTTCCCATCCCCAGAACTGCATTTGTGTGTACATGTGTGTACTTCACCGTTTTTTGCGTGTCCTTGCTGCAGCCCCTGAAAAAAGTACAATGTATTCCGCTATTTTACGAGTTTTTTTGCTGTGTTCTATGCCGTGTATTTATTCATGTAGGTAATCCGGAACTGGATTGTCATACCGCACTGCATTGCGTAACGGAATGCACTGCATTTTTCTACCGCTACGTACTGCATCTTATTTTTGCATGTACTTACTACAGTTCCTGGTATGGGAGGGGTAGGGAAAGGGGGGTGGGGGCCCACTTTTTTTTGAACTTATGGTTTTTCTTAGTCGGCCTTGTTGGGCCTGCGTTCGGGTATTGAAGACGCATTTGGGACCAAGTCGGCCTATGAGCACGGCTAGTTCCCGGTTTGATGTGTGTGCGTCCTAATGTTTAGTCCCACCTCGCCTCCGGAAGGCGCGCCCGACATGTTTATAAGCACTGGTGAGGCATTCCGGTTAAACTCCTCTGGTTACTTATTTGGGCGCTTATACACGGCGCTCGCAGCTCTATGCTCTCTGACCTGTGGGCCCATGTGTGGCCGGCCCCATGCATTGTGATTCAGAACGACTCGCCTTCTGTGGGCGCAGACCTATTACAAGACTGGCTGGGGCCGGTAGCACTTGGGTGGTCAATTTTTTTTCTTTGTATTTTTTTCAATGCTGGGGCGTGCACTGCTTTTTAGTAAATCATCCGTGCACTACATTGATTTAGTTTCAGTACTGCATGTGCACGCATTCCGTACTACACGTGTTTTGCGCTACATTTTTGTGCACTTCATGGATATCATTTTTCTTTATTGTTTCTCCTCTTACATATCCTTTTTTCTTAGTGTACGGGTGTGCAGTGCTTTTGTGCCCATATGCGCACTGCATTCGTCATAGTCCTGTGCTGCAGGTGTACACATGTTGCACTGCGTGCATCCTTCTTTGTGCCAAAAAGTTGTGACTGGCTATGCCAACACTGTGGACTGCATGACTTACATTTAAGGATTACATCAGGTGTTGTAATTTCTGCTTTGTGCACTGCGCGAAAGTGCTTATCTGTTGCTTCATTCTGAGCATGTACTGCACTTCATGCACAAATACAGTGAACTTCCTGGTAGGAATTTGAAGAACTGCACACATAAAATGGTCTGTGGATTATAATTTTTTAGAGAACTATTATTTAATGATCTATGGTTTGTTCGTGGGAATTGCTGTAGTCAAAGTACACCTTCTTTTTTGGTTTCTTTTTCTTTGGTAACATAAGTCTTTATCGATTGTCCTTTATTCTTGGAACATAATTTTCACTAACGCCCCTTTAATTTTCAGTTTTGACCTTTTTGCATTCCTCTTCTATAAATGAAGGCTAACTTATACCCTTCCTTTGAAGTTCATTTCTCCTCTAGCCGCAAGTTCTCTCCTTTCTCCAGCCTATATTTTTTTTGCTTTTCTAGTTTCTTGTTGCGATGGCTCCAGGCCCCTGCGCGTATCTCTTCTACTGCGGCCATGGTTGTGGTGTGCCGACGCACTACGATTGTTCAGCTTGCTCGCAGGCCCGTCGTGCTCGTCGTGGTTGGAAGGTATTGTGCCGAACTAGGCGAGCAGAGCAGCTTGCATATGGTACAGTATTCACGGAAGGATTGGATATGGGCCAGATCAACGTTTTTGCGTTCTATTCTTCCCTGCTTCGCCGTGGCCTTGGCCGCACAAGTCCTTTTGTCCATCGGAATACGCCAACAGATGTGGAGACTCACTACAAGATGGTATGTTTCGTTAGATATGATTTTTTTCTTTGTATTTTTTTTGTATAACTCCATTCTATTCTGAACTTTTAGTATTTTAGGAATGCACTATTTTTTGTTTTTTGAAGTGTACTGCAATGTGTTCTTATTTCTTGTTTTTATTTTTTTGCTTGTGTGCATGCAGCTTGTGTTTTAGTTACATGGTTAGAATATGTGAACTGCTTATATATTAGCTAAGCACTACATGTTTCCACATTTTTTCCCAATTTGTATAGTGTGTACTACATGTAGCTAGTCTCGAGTACTGCATGATAGTTCGAAGCGTATTGCATATTTGCAAGTTCCTTACTGCATATTGAAATGTGTTTTATCTGTACTGCTTGTTGGACTGTTTTGCACTTCATCTAGCCCGTGTTTGTAGTTTGTGTAGGTTTTTACCGCTCTGTGCACAGTATGAGAATTGTACTGCTATCGTTCTCAAACAGTTTTATTATTTTTTGCAGAAAATTCCTCAACGAGCTGTTAGGTATCTCCGTCTCAAGAAGAATGGAATTCTTCAAGTTGTTCTTTGTAATGGATACCTTAAGCCAGCCAAGTACAGTGTAGGTGTTGACGGGCGGCTGTGTCTGCAGAAAGGGTGGAAGGAATTTGTCATTGATAGTGGCCTGAAGTCTGAGCAAGTTGTTGTCCTCAACTTCTTTGAACTCGAGGATCGTACAGTTAGAATCACGTTTGACGTGATTGGCTAAGGTTATGAGGTTGATTCGTAATAAGTACTTTTGCTTGTCGAACGCTTCATCCTTTTGATGTGTTTTGTAATAAGCACTTTTGTGATCTGAACCGCTTCAATTTTTATTCTGAACTTTGTGCTGCCAGTGAGATAACAACATTTATTACATGGTTTTTAAATCAAAATGTGTCAATGTTTTACTCTAGATTGCTATATATATATGGTATACTCTATATACCATTTTCTCTTTACATGGTTTAGTTGAATAACTCATAGTCAACGAGAAATTTGTGTTTACACAAAATTTAAACTGATACATAAGTCATAAAGATAAGCAAATTGTTATGCTTATGATTAATTTATTGAAGTTCATATATTTGCTCATTAACATGCTGCTTCTGTGCGATGACTGGAGCGTGTCTAATGTCATACTTTCTTTTGCTTTTCGTGGCGGTGTTGCAGGTTCTTGTCTCTGCACCGTTGTGTTTGTAGCTCCTCGCGTGCTGGTTGATGGCTGCTTTTGTTTTTCAGCGCTGCAAACTGCATCCTTCTTTGCTCCCCGCGTGCCGGTTGATGGCTGCTTTGGTTTTTCAGCACTACGAACTGCATCCTTCTTTGCTCCCCGCATGCTGGTTGATGGCTGCTTTAGTTTTTCAGCGCTATGAACGGCATCCTTTTTTGCTCCCCGCGTGCT